ACCCCTAGGGTGATGGGCACTCCCAGAGTCCCTACGTTAGTATAAATGATTACTTTTGATTTTCACTGAGTTTGTGAGAGCTGAACCCTGTGCAGGTTTCTTGCCGATGGCTCCTGGAACTGCTCTTCTGTGAAATCCCCGGTCGGCACTCCCACGTTTGGTTTTTGAAGGTGCTGTAGCACACTGCTTCTGAGGCACCACAGGCATATCCAATTTTCTTACACTGTCTTAATATTGCTGGGCAACAGGAAAGCTACAGTGGGATGTGATTGAGCAAGTCCATTTTGCTATATAAGAGGAAATTGTCCACTTTATTTCAATAACTACTTTCCAAACAAAAATAAAATTAGCCTCTTCTATGGTTTTCAGATGATTTGCCAGCTAACCTTTATTGGTCAAATAATTCTAAGATCAGAGTATCTTCACTGTATTAGTCATCAAATGGGTCAGTTAAAGCAACCACACCGCTTTCCAAATATTTTCAGAAATCTGAAGCACTGCCTCAAGACTAATTTTAGTTCACAGAATGGGAGACTGGTTGACATTGGCAGGGACCTCTGGAGGTCATCTGGTCCAAGCCCCTTGTGGAAGCAGGGCCACCTAAAGCCAGTTGCCCCGGACCACATCTAGATGGCTTCTGAATATCTCCAGGGAGGAAGACTGCCTGGGTCACCTCTGCCAGTGCTTGGTCACCCTCACAGTGAAAAAGTGTTTCCTGATGTTCAGACAGAACCTCCCATGTCTCAGTTTGTGCCCATTGCCCCTGGTCCTGTCGCTGGGCACCTCTAAGAAGAGCCTGGCTCTGTCATCTTTGCACCCTCCCTTCAAGTATTTATATACACTGATAGGATCCCCCAGAGCCTTCTCTTCTCCAGGCTGAACAGCCCCAGCTCTCTCAGCCTTTCCTCACGAGAGCGATGCTCCAGGCCCTTCACCACCTTCACGGCTCTCCACTGGAATCTGTCCAGTATGTCCATGTCTCCTGTACTGGGGACCCCAGAACTGGACACAGTGCTCCACCTCCCTCAACCTGCTGGCAATGCTTTCTCTAATGCAGCCTGGGACACCATTTGCCTTCTTTGCCACAAGACCACATTGCTGGCTCGTGTAGGTGTGCGAAACCACTGAGTGCCTAAAAAGGGGGAGCACTGACTTGGCTTGCACAGGTTCAGACAGAAACAATTGCCTATATTTGAAGAACTAGCAAGAAACATTTTTCTTGTGAGGACATCTTGTGGCTAATATTCCACATTATTGGCAATAAGCCATGTCATAGAACTTGACTGCAGAGAAGTAACTGGAACACCAGGAGTCTTGAATCACCTCTATGGCAAACGTATGTCCTCTTTTCACATTTAGTCCTGGTTCATAAAGATGGTATCAGAATCAGGAGCTATATTTGCAAATTAAAACTACATTTAAACACCCAGAGGTATTTTTGTGAGATTATTTCTCCTATGGTAGCGTTCAAAATGTTCTGTGTTTTGCTGGAGATATTTTAAGGCTTCATTATTGCAACTAATGTCTTGTGTGTTAAGCAAGACATTAGCATCTATTGGATAAATAAAGAACTGTTAATACCACACCACTGATGAGCCCTATAAATCACTGAATGCTTGGGAGATGGTACTGTAGCGCCTGTTCTAGGGACATGTGCCTCTTGCAGACAGTGGACAACTTTCCAAGATATCCCAATAGCCACTATGTACCACCCTGTGAAGATGACAGTGGTTTTGTAATATACCCAAAATACTGCTGCCATAAGGTATTGCTAAGAAAAGAACATTTGTAAATACAACACTGCTTTCTACTAGCTTTACAACACTTCACAAGGTAAGTTACATGCTTTTCATTAGAACATTACAATGCAAAGTTGCTGAGACAATTAGTGAATTAGATGGACCTAGAGGAAAAAACATTTAAAACTTCAGAGTTCCAGCAACTGGGAGAGAAGAAGATGAAGAAAATCGACATAGTCATTTCCAGTAAGACTGACTCCACGCTGCCACCATCTAGACAGCAGGTATGTGAAAAAAAGGGCGCTTCCCATTTTATTTCAGTAAATCTCCAGTCTGTACACTTGCCACCTCAAAGAAGCTCTCTGAGTTTAATACGCTTCAAAAGAACTAAAAATTCATCCTCTCCTTTATCCCAGATACCCTCATGATGAGTTTTCTAGCACTGGCAGACGTGAGGAAGTGATTATCTTAGACAAATTTGTTTGTATCATTTCTTGATCACAAATGATACCAGAACAGAAAATATTTGCCTTCATAAATCAAAACTGTTATAGCTATCCGAGCAATGGGTTACAGTACATTAGGAACTCAATCTACAAGCCGCTAATGAAAGATGAACTATACAGTTAATGGTTTAATCAGTACACTGTGTTAATTACAAATGAAACAGAAATCAAGAGGAAAATGAAATATAGAAATAGGACATATAGGACCAATCCTGCTTGCTTTATTCACTGTGCCATTCCCGTTTAGATTCAATGGGACTAGCTGCATGAATGAGGCAAGCAGGATTTGATCCTACATATATTATCTCTGATAAAAATATATTTAGATATTCCTGCCTGTAGCATATTTTACAATATTCTCATTATAGAGAAGATTAACTCTATATCAAAGGAACAATGTTGGAAGTTTCTAATGGAATCTAGAATAGTTGCAAAAAATCACTTTTTGGAAATGTTCTCATTTGGGCTGCCTCATTAATCCCTTTAACCATGGAACTCACAATTTAACTGCAGATAGAACCCAGGCTCCCAAGTATCCGGAAGCACAACTGTTCCTCCACTACAAATAGTCTGCAAGGACAAATTCTGTGGTCCCATTCTGTGGAGAGAATGCCTTGGGGGAAGCTGATAGAAAGGCAAAACAGTCCCGTGATCAAGGCACTGGCCAAGCACCTGGCCAGATCAGCTCCCGAGGTGATGCTGACACGGGCAAGTCAATACAGGCTTTCCAAGCTTAAGTTCTCCAAAGTGCCGTTAATAGTGCTTCCTCACACAGGATTGTATTAGAAGATTAACCAAAACGAGGGAGTGAAGTTCACATTCATACCTATAACCATGATTGTCTTAATGATAACTTAATACAACCTTTTTGTTCTTATACTTGTCTTTTTGTTCTTATACTTGTCTACGGACAATTCCCTTTTTGTCCGTACTTGCTGTTGTGTGGAGCTGTACACAGAGAGAAGGCAACACACACTGGCTTTTTTCAGCTGATGCAGTAGGGACTGCTCCAGGTAAAAAAATAATTTAAGCCTTCAGATCTTCTTCACGGTGTCAGCATTTGTTTCATTTTTCACACGGCTTCAGGACCATAAGAGAAACATATCATGTTACTTTACTTTTCTTTCTTGCCTCAGTCCTGTAACTAGTGCTGTTTTGGTCTATACCTCACGACTGGCTCCTAGCTTTATGTTAATGTTAATTAACTGTGATCCGGAGTATGTTTTGCTAAATAAATCCGGCACTGTTTTGAAGCAGTAATATAGAGAATGGCAAACTTATTCCAATAAAACAAATCCCAGCACTGATCAGCATTAAACTGTGCCCTGGGGATCTTTTCTTGCCCATAGGAGCAGGGCATGCAAAGAAGCATCTCTTGCTGGTGGTCCCATCATAAGTCTCCTAAACCCATGACACCAGCTCACTTTCAATCAATAACAATAATTTTAACACCCACATACAATAAATAGTAATATAAAAATTGCAATAAATAGATGAGGTTGAATAAGAACCCAAAACTCTTCACCTCAAACTCCAGCTATTATGTGAGAAGCCTTTTCAAGATTCAAATAAATAAATAATACCCGCACACACACATGCTTTTCTTCTCAATTCTTGTCTTAAACTAGGTCCAGAAGTGGGTAAACACAGACTGTGAACCTCTACTCTAGATTCAAGCGTTTCAAAGATAATTTGGGTACTCTTAATTTTTTAAAATCTAATCTGAACATTTCCCATCCCTAACATTAAGTGGTATATATTTATACATACGTATAAATTAGGTGTATATATATATGTGTGTGTGTATGTGTATCTTGCCACAAGGATGTATTACAAGCAATTAAACCCTTGATAATAAATGGTTCATCAGTCCGCAGGTGATGTACTATAAGTGATTGCTCCTGTAGGTAGTAATCATCTGGTGCAATTGCTAGAATTATAAATTCCCTCTAGGCTGATTGGATTTTATCAACAAGAAGCAGTGAAGTAAAAAACGGTTTGGGGGTGAGGTTTTTTATAGTCTAAAACCTAATATTAGCAATTTGCCAATTGGAAATGAGTGCCTTTCCCTTGAAGACATACCCTCACGATGACTGAACAGCTGTCAGAAAAATGTAACCGTTTTCAGAACAGCCTCTGGGACCGGAGTATATTCTAAGGCAAAGCTGAAATTCAAAGGTTTTTTCCCACCCCCGCAAAAATATATGCAACTCTCATGCATCCTGAAACTGTTTTCCTATAGGCAGAGCAACATTCCATAAATCTATATAGGGACTGAAATATCATCATCATATTTAAATTAAAGCACGAGAGCTAGTTACTATTATCATTTGGACAATCTGTCAGTACAATTTATGTATTATATTTGAAATTATTATTTGTCAGAACATCAGTTCCCCTGATAGCAAACTGAGGAACTTCTGTGTATATTGAATTTAGACCACTGATGAAAATGGAATGGTATGTTTAAGTTTTAACAAAAAACCTACCTGTTAAGGTAAGTTTTCTATTTTTTCTTTTATTTTGTCACAGAATTAGTTTTCTTTAATGGCATATCAAAGCAGTAAATACAGCTGTGACAAATCATACCCATCAAAAATAAATTAAATCCACAAAATCGAAAAGCTCTCTAAAATAGTCTAACACTTATTTCCGTGTCACATGGTTTCTTTTCAAGGTTTTGGAAAAAATGTATTTCTTGCTAACCTCTAAATTTTTGTTACTTTCCAAAATACATTTAATAGAAAAAGGATACCCGAAAGAATATAAGCAATCAGAATTAATTTCAGATTGATGTTTAATAGTGGTACTCTAATTCTTTTCTTATTTTTCTCATGAAAATTCTGTTGAGTACAAGGTGTACATCAGCCATTTCAGCTTCACTTGGGGAACAGGATTACATCCCAAATTAAAAAAAAAAAAAGTGAAGCCGATGACTGATTGCTTATTTTGCTCTTTATTACTGTGCATCAAAATCCTAACACTGTAATTGAATGCCATTACTTTCAAAAGTTACACCAAGCCCAAATGCAGCCCAATTGCTTCAAGTAGTTATTCCAACTGGGAAAAACATTGAGACAACATAGTATCCAGTCCACACAGGTGGGAGGTTTTTGGAAGGGAAGAGAAAGTAACAGTTTCAGAGTAAAAACTGTTTTATGAGGAAATAGGAGAGTAATATGGTGAAGTACGGATACAACTAAATAACTTTTAAATTATCCTGAATTAGGAAGGTTCTGGTATACTGGTTCATTTATACAGAAATCAAGTACCTAGCTGCGCTAACAGAGTCAGGGAGGCAAAACACAGTAACCACAGCCATTCTGCATCTTTCTTGTTCAACATATACTGTTTTGTGGTTTTTTTCTTCAAAAGAAATTATTTATTTTTCCCACACAAGTCTTTTCCATATCTTCATCCCGGTTCGCTCTTACCACCAGGAATCACCACACCACTACCTATCATGTCAGCTAATAAAACCGGGAATGATTTTGCAGTGATTTTGCCTGGTGTCACACTAGCTGAGACTTACACAGGCCTCCAGACCACCCCTCTTCACAACGTGGTTAAGCACGTGCTTTCTTGGTGGCTGTTTAAGGAGGAGGTGGAGGAGTCAGCTTGGCAAGCAGATCACTAAACCTTGCCATTCACCTCTGCTGCATTTCCAAGCACTGGCATTTGCTTCCAATTTGGACAACAAAGATTATTGTGTAAGCTTTGTTCCCCTACTGGATTTCCTTCGGTATGCTCTCTACTACCCGGGTGGCAAAAGAAACGTCTAATTATACATCGTAATTTAAAGTGAGACAATAATTACTTACACACCTTAAAAAATGGTTCCCCCTCAATATACATGTGTCTTTATGTAATATTTTGCGCTCTTCTACTACAGTACTTCCTTCACTTTCCTTTTTTTTGGTTTTCTTATAGACTACATGAAACTTTGAGATGTTTGGGATGCAGTTTTTTTAGAACATACTCAATATACATCTAGATGCTTTAGCATAACAAACAGCAACAATAGTGATGACATATACAAGACAAATGACAAAATGAGACCTTTGAAAAGACAAGAGAGGCAGTGAATGGCTGAAGGGTCATCCCTGTTAATTTGGTTATTCTGACACTGGGAATCTACTTGCAGTGCAAAGTAGCAATTACAGTGTACTCAAATTAGACAAGAGCAAATTTATAGCAATAACCCAATAATCTAAGAGCCAGCTTAACCAAAATCTCAAACCATTGACCTGCCTGCTTTGTGGAAGCATCGGGAAAGAGGCTGATTGCTGTTTTGACATAAGCAGAAAACTTACTGTAAAAGACAACTACGCAGCTGTCCTAAACCCCTTTCATCTGCAGGTATGATGTGCTTCTGCTTCCAGTGTAGAATTACAGGGATCCAGGAAAAAATATAGGATAGTGGCTATTATAAACAGAAACCCCGCTATTTTAGAAGGAACTTTTGCAGCACCATTAATTTTCTTGAGGAAAGGCGTTTATTAGCGTTATAGCCAGGTATTGTGAGCCAAATTAAAGAACTGAGGGAGGGAAAAAAAAAAAATTATCTTTGGGAAAGGATTCCAAAGCCTACATTGTTAAGTTAGAAACCTGAAACGTGTATCATGAGTGGTTCTCTTGGGTTTCTTTGGAAATAAGCAGACTTCAACACTTCAACACCACAGGTTCTTTGGAAAAACAGTGTGTAGGTTCCACAGCACTTGGGTGCATTTGAAACATCTGAGGCATAAGAATAAATATTGAGGGAAAAGCAAGAAACA